TCTCTCTCTCTCTCTCTCACACACACACACACACACACACACACACACACACACACACCTCATAGCAGGAAGGCGCAGAAATCATCACGATGCACAAAACCAACAAGAATGCGATGATCTTTGTTTCGTTTTTTTGAGGTCTGCGACGATCATCCTACTAATTAGCTAAAACAGAAAGAAACAACCTTTCAAGATGGAGCACACAAGACCCCATCGACATCCCCTCCTCCCACTTTCTCCTACAGGCTCGACTATCATCGCTTGTTTCCACTCGGCATCTCCCAGAATGCCGCACGCAAGATCTTGTGGTGTTGGTCACCGCCCATGCTTGCAGGACCATACTCATGTCGCCCTACCTTTTACCCCGTGCATACTCCCCATTATCATGACTGTATTTGGTCGGGATAGACACTCTATACGTTCGTTATGATAGGGATTTAGGCTCGGAGTAGTAACGCAGGAGTCATCTTATCTCCTACCACAGACTCATTATAGGGAGACAACAGAGTGCGAAATTTTGAAATTTGGTGGCAGAGGGGAGAAGCGCAGGCAAATTTTTTAAACTATAGAAATACAAACGTATTTCTGCACTAGAAAAGCTGTGATATTTGTTTTTTTTTTTTTTTTTTTAATTTTAAATCAGCTTTATCGTTATTATTATGTGCAATATTATGCATATATATATGAGTCGGTGAAACTCCGACGAAACAGTTTGTCACAACCCCTCGTTTCTTGTCCTCTTCTCCCTCCCCTCCCTCTCTGCCTTCGGTTTACTGGGCAGCTCTGTTTGACGATATATAGACAAACTGCTTCGTCGGAGTTTCACCGACTTTTATATATATATATATTTTAATACACTTGCTCATTTACTATTACCAAAAGGAGAGGCGCATAGTATTAATCACGTCCCACACAAGTTACGAAAAAAAAAAAAAAAAAAAAGAAGAAAAAAAAGAAGAAAAAAAAGAAGAAAAAAAAGAAGAAAAAAAAGAAGATAAAATTAAGAAAAAAAAAAAAGGAGGATTAAACTTCTTTAAGGAAAAAAAGATGGTGGATTTAGGATATAGCGGGTAGGAGAGAGGGAAAAAGAAATAGGGGACAGCACCTATTATAGCAGACAAAAGCAAGCATTTTATTATGAAGATCCATGAGCGGCAGGTGTAAAAATTTGAAAAGAAAATGCATCAATGTACCAATAAATAATATAAGTAAATTAATAATATGTACGTAAATGCATCAATGTAGCAATATATATTATTATTATTTTAATGTAATAAATTCATAATACGTAATCAATTAATTAATTAATTATTAATAATAATAAAAATCATCACCACTATGAATAGTCCAATTATAACGACGTCTACCGTTTTTCTGCCAAAAAAGAACTCGCACCTTAATCCTTGGCGCCATTTTTTTTTTTGCTTCCCGCTATACATCCTCTTGCAGGATGAAGAAAAACACACAATGAAAATTGTTATTTTTTCTATTCTGCGAAAAAAAATCAAAATGATAAAGTCATGATCTTTTCGAGATAAAAAAAGGGAAAGGGAAAAGAAAAAAAAAATCAAACGTGGATGCACGAAAGCCTGGCCTTGCCTCATCAAACACATTTTGGCTGTTCAGCATGTTCAGCGTGAAACTAGCATGAACCTCTCCGGAGAGGTTGTGCAGATCCATTACAGCAAGCCGTCACACAAAGGCATGGGGCTTGCAATGTACCTAGCTGGCATGCGGAGTGTGATCAGGTCCTAATTAATTTATTAACTATATTAATAGATATATACATTTAATATCCAGTCAGATATTCGACTGTAATTTTCACTATTCGTATTATAAAAAATTACATAATAATCGAAATAGACCAAAAACCCTTAGCCAGCTAAGCAACTGGTAATCCACACCAGAGCTCTCTCTATTCTTGAATTCGAACTTTCCCTGATGACTCAACGTGCACATTCGCCAGCTCATCATCCTACGTGGCATTCTACGCAGCATCCTTTCTTGACTGAATAATCCCTCAAATTCGGGCAGATGCATGTTTCTTTTTTGTTTCCCAATCCTACGTCGCATTCTACGTAGCTTTCCATATCAGAGGCGTCTGCCCGAATTTGGAGGATCACACAGTCGATAAAAAAAAAAAAAAAAAAAAAAAAAAAAGGAGCGGCTGCTATAAAGCTTTCAGGATCGACTGGTCGCGCTCTGAACGACACGCATACATGGGGGCTTGAAAAGAGAGAGAGAGAGAGAGAGAGAGAGACAGAGAGAGAGAGAGAGAGAGAGAGAGAGAGAGAGAGAGAGAGAGAGAGAGAGAGAGAGTTCTTCAGCCAGCTCTGCGGAGGTATGTTGGCCTGAAGTTTAGGTCTTCTCTCGCTGAAACTTGGGTGCGCATACCTCGAAACAACACAGCTATGGCGAAACTCCAGCCGGCCCTGAGGGAGAAGGTCAGTCCCGGGAGAGCTCCGAATTGGAGGAGGACATTCTCGCGGATTTCGTGCACCGATCGGAGTTTTCTGAAAATGCTGGAAATACGGCAATATACATATGAACTAGAGACTCTTTCCCTCTCCCTACTCTAACGGCTTCTCTGGACCCTCTCGCGCTCTCTGCGTCTCATACCGCTGGTCCATCTTATCTTTTCCACCTCTCTCTCTTTCTTTCTCTCTGTTTGTCCCCTTTTCCCCTCTGCATCTTTGCTCATCCTAATGTCTTGCCTTACTGCCTCCCATGGAGTATACAATAGTGCGTCTCTTTCTCTCCCCCTCCTTGCTTACTTAAGTACACC